TGGTATCGTAGAAGAGCCCATTGCCCTCAGACTCACTTCATTAAAAAATGTAATTTTTTTTTTTTTTTGAAATGGAGTCTTGCTCTGTCACAGGCTGGAGTGCAGTGGTGTGATCTTGGCTCACTGCAACCTCCATCTCCCGGGTTCAGGTGATTCTCCTGCCTCATCCTCCCAAGTAGCTGGGCTTACGGGTATACACCACCATAGCTGGCTAATTTTTTGTGTTTGGTAGAGATGGGGTTTCGCCATGTTGGCCAGGTTGGTCTCAAACTCTTGACCTCAGGTGGTCCACCTGCCTCGGCCTCCCAAAGTGCTGGGATTACAGGCATGAGCCACCACACCCGGCCAAAAAACCCCACAATTTTAATAAGCTTATTTGTGTGGCTGCTATCAGACACACAGACAGTTATGACCAGGGAGGGGAGGACACAGGAAGTGATAAAAAGGTGACAGAAAACCCCAACTGCATTCCTGGATCACTTAGTGTATGGGACCTCTGAGGTTCTTTACATTTTAAAAGCCCTTGAGGGTTTCTTATATTATCATCCCAAGGACAATCCAAAGTTTCCCCCAAAGGAGGTTAAATTACATATTCTACAGAGGCTCAGTAGACAGAGAAATGTCTAACTTCCCATATGAAACGCTAAGCTCCAATTATACGGAAATGTTCTCTCTCTGGCCGATGCCAGCTCATGGGAGCCCTTTTACAGCTATTTTTATGTTTCAAAGACACAGCGCTGGACTTTGTGGCCCAGGTGCTGGGCTTTGGAGAAAGAGAAGCACATTTTCTTTGTTCTCTTGGAGGTGGGGTGTCTTGGGGGAGTGGGAAGGGGACATGCAGGTAGGTAGGATGGGGAGGGACCACACTTGGAGTACCGCCGCCCTGGCAAACTGTCTCTTCCAGGACGCTGCATCTTGTTGTGTCCTCCTCCTCGGCAAGCAGCTTAGCCCTCCTCAGTCCATGTCACGAGGAACCCGCATGAGTACAGTCTAGGCGCTGCTGGTTGCCAGCCCCGTCTGGTGGGCAGTGCTCCAGGCTGGGGTGGCTCCCAGGGGAGCCAGGGCGAGCAGCTTGACCCTCCTCAAGCCTCTAGGCCCAGAGATTGCCTGGCTTTGGAGGATCACAGGGCAGCAGGTGAACTGGCCGCTTTCCTGGGCCCCTCCTGCAGAGGCTGGGATAGAATTTGTCCCAGAGGCAAGGCCCAGGAATCTACCCCTTCACCAGCAGTCAGGTGATTATGATGCAGGTGGCAGCTGCAGGTGGCACTCAGAGGCTTGCTGGTGTGGACAGCAGGGGATCACACAGGGGATGCTGAAATGTAACCCAGGCCACTCAGGTAGACAGCACCGGGTCCTAGTGCGGGAGAGGACAAGGTGCAGGCCTGGGGGTCAGGGGCAGAGAGGCTGATTGGGTGAGAAATGAGGAGGGATGAGCTGCTGGCAGAGGAGGAGGACAGAGCAAGATGCAGCGTCCTGAAAGAGATAGTTTGCCAGGGCGGCAGTACTCTAAGTGTGGTCCCCCAGCCAGCAGCACCCGCATCCCCTGGGAATACTTTAGAGATGCAGAGTCAGGACGGACAAGGTGGCTAACACCTGTAATCCCAGCACTTTAGGAGGCCGAGGTGGGCAGATCACTTGAGGTCAGGAGTTTGAGACCAGCCTGGCCGGCGTGGTGAAACCCGCTAATTTTGTAAAAATACAAAAATTAGCCAGGTGCAGCCACTCGGGAGACTGAGGCAGGAGAATCGTATTAACCCAGGAGGTGGAGACTGCAGTGAGCTGAGATTGTGCCACTACACTCTAGCCTGGGCAACAGAGCAAGACACTGTCTCAAAAAAAAAAGAAAGAAAAGAAAAAAGAAGGAATTGCAGGGTCTTGAGCCCCACCCAGACTGTCGAATCAGAGCCTGACTTTTAACAAGATTCAAGAAGCACCATGGCTGCCCTTCCACGCCTGTTTACAAATCAAGTACTTAGAGGAATGAAGGCGGGGCTGGTCCATGTGATGAACTCAGAGGCACCGACCATGGTGTCCCGGGTCGATGTGCACTGAGCGCACGGAGGCCCCTTTTGCAGCCCTCTGCACCCGTCAGAAGCTCAGCACACCTGTCAGAGTCACAGGTAGGCCACGGAGGTCAGAGGTCACGTGAGGCCAAGCACAGCCCAGGCAGTCTCCTCGTGCTGTGGAAATGGCTTCCAGCTCTGACCTCCCTGGGCAGCAGGCTAGGAGCCTGGATCAGGGACTGCCTGCTTAGCTTGGAATCCCTGCTGCCCTGATAACCAGCTGTGTGGCCTTAGGAAAGTTACTTAACCTCTCTGAGTCTCAATTTTCCCATCAGATCGTGCAGATAGGAATAGGCCTTACCTCCTAAGGTGGGGTGGTGGGCCGGTGGGGTGGTGGGGTGGCGAGGTGGTGACGTGGGGTGCTAGGGTGGTGGGGTGGTGACATGGTGACGTGTGTGTGAGATGCTGGAAGAGTAAACGCTGCGGGTCTGCCTGCTGATCAGTGTCACATCTGGATTCAAACCAAGGTCCTCCGTGGGAGCTGGGAAAGTTTTTGGCCTCTCCGAGCTTTTGTTTATTTCTGTGGGCCCAGAGGGGAGAGCAAGGAGAGCTGGGGGCAGCAGGGACGAGGTTGCGTCTGATGGTGTCATGGGGGGAATCAGTTTCAGAATGACGGAGCTGGTTGTGATTTTCTGGACTTTATCCCAAACATCTGCCCAGATGTTTTAAATTTGTACCCATTTCCGTGTCTCCAGGAAAACTGGCATAGCAGCCCTGTTTGTTCCTGTTTTTACAGTCACTCCCTGGATCACGGTGCAGTGACTTCAGCAGAGAACGGGGCCTGTGCTGTGTCTGTTACAGGCTGAGGTGGGAAGAGAAGGTTGCCCCTGCATCTCGAGGGACCAGTTCACACCCGGAGGAGGAGAGAGGCCCTCTGAGTCCTCCCGTTGCCCTTGGGGATGGCCAGGGTTGCTGCTGTCCCCTGTGTCTGTGGTCGGGGGGACTTCTCCAGGGGATGCGACATCTGCTGCGTCGATTTTTGGGTGTCCAAGTGTACCAGGCCCAGTCTCACACTGAGAGTCACCCCCATGGGCGGTTCCCCCATCCCATCATGGTGCCGGGGGCTCCAGCAGCCTCATCACAACACAGCCTGGTGGTTGGAGGGCCTGAGCCTTTGTCATGACCTCCCCTACTTAGCCGCAGGACTGCGCACCTGGTGGGGACTGGGGTGGGGGGGCAGGCCACTCTCGCAGGCTCACCCCAGGGCTCCAGGATGGGCACATGCATTGTTCAAATGCTCTCACATCCTGGGCTGTGATGGGCTGTGAGGTGGATGAGAGAGGCGGAGGTTTTGAGGGAACTGCAGAACCCGGGATCCTACAGCCAGGACACAGGCCTGTCTGACCGTGGAGTCCCGTCCTGGGCACCTCACCCAGCCTGTGACTGTGACGCTCTTCCCCACCCCCACCCCCCTCATCCCCTGTCCTCCCTGACTCCACAGGAGTGCACAACAGGCCTGGAGTCTCCTTCGGAAGGGGGTGAGAAGTGTGGGGCAGGGGACACTGGGTGCTATTGGCTGTGGGTCCTGGCACTTCCCTGCTGCTTGGCTGGAGGGTCCCTGGGTGAGGTCCGTCTCGGCCAAAAAGTTGTCTGAGTGGCTGCCCGGGAAAAGGCGAGCTACTGGGACGTCATTCTCCAGCTGTAGGCCAGAGGTTGGCTGACTTTGGTGAGAGTCACTGGGAAGCTGGTGACCTGAACACATTCCCGGGCCCAGGTGCTGGGATCGGATGGGTCTGGGGTGGAGCTGCCACGGGCTGGGTCCTGCATGGGGCCACAGGGCTGCAGAGAATGAGGGAGGAGAATGGGCCCAGTGTCCACTCGGCTTTGTGGGAGGCCCAGGTGCCGTCCAGAGGCCAGATGGGTGTCCACTTCGCCTTCCTGTCTGCTGCTCTGAGTGTAGCTTCTGTGGAGCGGGGAGCTGTGGTTTTCCTGAGTGGTTGAAGGCAGCCTTGTCAGCTTTGGGAGGCAGGACCAGAGGGCAGGGGGGAATAGGAAACATCAAAGCAGCCCCAGACGCTCACAATACTTCGAGGAGCACCAGGACCCCTGCCCCTTCTGGAATATTCTAAGCAACCAGAGAGGGCAGGTGCCTCTGAGGGGGGAGCTGTAGTGAGGACCCCGATTGGAACCATGGCTCTCTTCCTTGGCAAGTGTCCTTCCAAGGGCACCAGACGGCCTGTCTGGCAGCGCTGGAGAGACCCTGGGCTGCCTGGAGGTCAGGCTGGACATCACAGGTGGAGGCAGGCGTCCCAGTGGGCTGTGCACCAGGTGAATGGCTGTTTCTTTTCGGTCATCTCGGGCTCAGCTAAGGCTTAGTTGCCTTCCCTGCCGATGTCTGCGTGAATCCACGTGAGACCCTCCCGTTTGCCTCAAGTTAGCGAGTAGGGAGGGGCTCAGAGGGAAGAGCAGGGAAAACTAGGGGCGGCAGGGGCAGGGTTGCATCTGATGGTATCAGCGTGGGCATCAAAATTCCCGAATGATGGAGCTGGCTTATCCCAAAGATCTCTGTCCAGATCTGTTAAGTTTTTACCCATTTGTGTGTCTCCAGGAAAATCCATGTTGCCTCATTGGGATGCCCATGCCAGTGGCCTGGCACAGGGTGCACTGAGGTCATTCAGTGGGTTGGGGGCACTTCCAGAGCAGGGAAGACTTGTCCAGGTTTTACTGATTGTTGTTGGTTGACAAGGGGTGTGACCCAATGGCTCTTGGCCCAGAAATAGACCATGAACCTTGGGGCCTCCAGGCGCCATCCAAGACACAGAGAGGGGCATTCAGAGCAGCTCTGACCTCACCCCACCTCATTGGGCATCCCCGTGGCCGTTCATGGTGGTCTTTGGTGTCTGAGGCCCTCTCCTCCGTGTGAGCTGGGAAAGTCATTCCACCTCTCCGAGCCTTTTTTTTTTTTTTTTTTTTTTTTTTTTTTTTTTTTTTTTTGTGGACTCATGCCTTCTCTTGGTTCTAGAGCTAGGAGTGGAATTGCTGGGTCATATGGTGAGTCTGTGTTTCCCTTTGGAAGAAACTGCCAGACAGTTTTCCAAGGTGGCGGCACCATTTCCCATTCCCACCAGCAGTGTGTGCAGGGCTCGGTTCCTCCCTCCTTCCTCACCAGGAGTTGCTGATGTCTGTCTTTTTGCCCAAGGTCATCGGGGTGGCTGTGAAGTGGCAGGGCATTGCAGAGTCAGTGTGCATTTCCCTAAAGACCGCTGCAGTTAACATCCTTCATGTGCTGTATTAGCCATACGTCTATGTTCTTTGGTGAAATATCTACTTAAATCTGTTTGCTGATTTTTAGTTTTCTTTATTTATTTTTGAGACTGTCTCACTCTGTCGCCAAGGCTGGAGTGCAATGGTGTGATCTCAGCTCATGGCAACCTCTGCCTCCCGGATTCAAACAATTCTCCCGCCTCAGCCTCCTGAGTAGCTGGGATTACAGATGCAAGCTGCCATGCCTGGCCTTCTTTTGCTGATTTTTAAATGGGATTATTTGTCACCTTACTGGGTAGTAAGAGTTGTTGATATGTTCCAGACTCGAGTCTTCTGTTGGATATGATTTGCAAATCCTTCCTTCCAGGCTGTACCTTGTGTTTTCACTTTACTTACAGTATCTTTTTGAAGCACAAAGGTTTTGTTGTCGTTGTTGTTTAATTTTGATGATGTTCAGCTTATCTGTTTCTTCTTTTGTTGCTTGTGTTTTTGGTTGTATCTAAGAAACCTTTGCCTAACTCAGGATCATGAATACACGCCTGGATTTTCTTCTAAACTTTATAGTTGCAGATGTTGCATTAAGGTCTATGATCTATTGTAAGTTAATTTTTGTAAGTAGGGTGAGAAAACGATGTGAATTCCCATTTTTTTGCATGTGGCTATCCAACTGTGCCAGCATCATTTGTTGAAAAACAAAAAAGAATTGTTTCCCCCCCATTAAATTGCTGTGGCACCTTTGTCGAAAATCTGTCATTGCATTTAAGGGCCCAGCTTTCTCTCTCCCTTTCTCTTTCTTGATCATCATGGTGGTTGGAAGTCTGGTTAGTAATTTTAACCACTATTCTAGATGTGTGATCCGATTTACCAAGACGTGCAAGGACCTCCCACTCGAAGACTTAAGTCAAAGCCAGCTGCAGTGTGACCACCTGAAGTTGGTCAAAGGCGCTAGGGTTCACCCAAGCAGCAGGGGGCCTGTCTCTGCCAGCTGTGTGATCTGGGTTAAGCATCTTCATCTCTGCCTGCCTCAGTTTCCCCATCTGTGAACCAGGGGTGGTAGGAGCTTCGTATCTCAAAGGATTGCTGTAGAAGAGATGAACGAGTATGCCAAGTGCTCAGAGGGGAGCCTGCCCGGTTCATGTTAGCTGTAATATAGACACAGTATGTTCTGACTCCTGCAACTACATTTGACTCCAATTGCTTAGCCTGGTTCCACATAGACTAAGATGACAGAAAGGAAGGGGCAGTGGAGGGGGACTCCATATGGACTGTGGCTGTCCCTTAGCTGTTCCTGCAGCTCACAGGTCTGGCTGTTTCCAGCCTTTGCCGCCCGGGGGAACAGACACATCCCGTATGCTTTTGGTGTGAATGCCCCTCCTTTCCTAGGAAGGCCTGATGAAGCGTGGGTCCTTTCCTGATGCCAAAGAGACCTGGAAGAGTCCTCCTCTGATCATTGTAAAAGGAAAGAGCTGGGAATCAAGAACAGAGAGCTAACACCAGCTTCTCCTCCTCTCTGGTTTCTCCTGGATTCAAGTACCAGACATGCATACACACATACACACCAGCATGCCCATGGACACATACACTTGCACACACATGTATACACATACACCCCTGCACACACACACATCCCTGCACACACATCCCTGCACACACATCCCTGCACATACATCCCTGCACACACATCCCTGCACATACATCCCTGCACACACACCCCTGCACACATACCCACACACCCTTGCACACATCCCTGCACACAAATGCACACACACCCTGCACATACCCCCCACACACTTGCACACATATGCATGAACACCACCCACACATCCCTGCACACACACTCCTGCACACACACACATCCCTGCACACACATGCACACACACCCTGCACACACACATGCTTGCAAGCTCCTCCCTCCTCCGTTCCTTCCTCCTTTCCTTTATAAGCAGTTCTCCCTCCAGAGGCCCAGACTTCCTCTTTTGCTTCCACCTTCTCTTGCCAATATTTGTTTTTAAGAGCTGCCCTTTGTGCCCCTCCAGCTTGACCTGAATCCTAACACTCGCCTCCTAGGGTGGGGTTCTGAGTCTTGGCACCACTGACATCTCTGGCCATGTATTTGCTGTCCCGGGTGGCCCTCCTGTGCAGTGTGGGGTATTTAGCAGCCTCCCTCGCCTCCACCCAGCTGCAGGCCAGGAGCACCTCCTCCCTGCATTTATGACCATGGAAAATGTCTCCAGACATTGCCAGTGTCCCCTGGGAAGCAAAATCACACCATATTCAAAACAACTCCCCTCCAGGCTCTTGTCAAAAATGTGTAGGACAGAAATTGGGAGGCTGAGAACGGGCCATGATGGGCGCTGGCAGGAGAGCTGGGAGGGTGCATTTTGGAGTCTTTCCCCGCAGTGAGAATCCCATGTGCTTGTCGTCAGGGCCTTGGTCACTCTCCTGGGAGCACTCTGGAGAGCTGCACCTGTGCTCCTGTCCTCGTGGGCTTGCTGTGGAACAGTCATGCCCTCTGTGGCCCCTCAGGCCCGAGGGCGCCCCTTGAACCCTCCACCCTTGGCTCCAAGCACTGTCCCTGGGAAGCTGTGTCTGCCGGGTTCGCAGAAAGGAAAAGAAACATGGACGGAGCCACGTGGCTCAGGCTTTGTCCTGATAACAGACCCCTGCTTTGGAGGCAAAAGCACAGATTGCTGCCAGCCCGGGAAAAGGTGATCTCACCCTGCAGAGGAGAACGGATGCGAAACTGTGGAAAAGCCACCAGCTCCAGCGCCTGGCCGAGCAGTTGAGGAGAGAGTGGTGGGAGTCGCGGTACCTGCAAGTCAGGGACCTGGACAGGCTGCAGTCAGCACGTCTGTTAGGCTGGGGAGGAGGACGGGCCACAGAAAATAAGCCTGGCTCGGAGGGGCCTGTCCAGCGAAGATTACCCAGGCCCCCAGGGGGGGCAAAGAGAAGCAGAATACAGCCCTTAGCGAATAGAAGAGCTGCAGGGAAGAGATGGGCGAGCAACAACCTGGGCACATTAGGCCCCAGAAGATGCCAGTGAGCCCAGAGAAGCCTCAGACTACAAAAGCCACAGATCAGATGCATCCTCACATGACCCCGCCTGAGAAGAGAAAGGGAAGGCGAGAACCTTCGACCAAGTCTGGGGATGGCCGCTGTGCCATCCACCCTCAGGGGAACGGAGGGGTGGACCTAGAAAGGCAAAACCCACTCATGGTGGCCGCGGGAGAGATCAGGTGCGTGGAGGAAAAAGAGAAAGGAACGGCCCAGGCAGGGAGGAGGCCGCTGGGGAAAGGGACAATTTGCTTTGTTCCAGGCCTGACCAGCTGCTCTCAGGAACAGAGTCTGGAGGGAGGTCTGCTGGTTCCAGCCCCAGAAGGGAAGCCGTGTCCCCAGCATCTCAGTGCACGCTCCAGGAGAAGAACAAGTGGCAGAAAGAGCTGGAGTTCGCCTTTGAAGAGTTGTTTAATATAAACAGAAAGCTGAAGAAACACCTGTGCTTGTACCTGGCCCTGAAGCCCAGGATGGACCAGAGCCCCGGGGGAGAGCATGGCTTCTCAGAGATGCAAGAATGTGGCGGGAGGACCCCGAGAGAGAAGAAAATGGCAGACACAGAGATGATGGCCGCCGGGGAACGCAGGAGCCTGGCAGAGGAGGAGGAGCAGCAGGCGGTGTCCAAGACCGACTTGAAAACATTAACGGGCAAGGTCCAGAACCGAAAATGTCACCGCACGGTCAAGCCCACATTTAGAAATGGAAGTTAAACATTGTCTCCCAAGGCAGAAATATGTGTCAACAAAGTGGACTCATTCTTGTACAGCACTGAATTTGGGCAAGAGACCCCCAAACGAGGCACGCTGGTAGAGGGCCCCCTTCAGCTCCACCTTCAAGACCAGGCACACAGAGTAGGCTCAACAGCATCCAGGCAAAGGCAGAAAGCAGAGACGAAGCAGAGGAAACAAAAACAGCCGGAATCGCTTGAACCAACGGAACACCCAGGTAGGAGCTTGGAAATCCACCGAAAGGCTGAGTTAGAAAAAGAGAGGAGGGAGCAAAGAGGAGCTGGACTGGCCCATCTGAGGTTCCCCTCTTTGTCAGCCCAGGAAAGGGAGAGCCAATCTGAGCTCAGCACTACTTCCCCATTGGGCACCAGCTTCACCAACGACCAGCACAGTCAGATGATCCGAGACCGGCAGCAGCAGATTTTAGAGCAAAACAAGTTGCACAAGCAGTTTCTTGCAGAAGCCAGGAAACGCTTGCAGGAGTTTCAGAACATATGTTAAATGCGAGAGTCCCACCGGGGAAAATACATCACTGCTAATGGAGATGCCAGAACTGGTACCCGAGTCTCTAAGATCTGTGTTTGCATCATTGCCTTCAAGACTATTAGGCCTCTATAAAATGGGCAATCTGGGGCTGGGCATGGTGGCTCATACCTGTAATCCCAGCACTTTGGAAGGCCAAGAAGGGCGGAACCCTGAGGTCAAGAGTTTGAGACCAACCTGGCCAATATGGCGAAACCCCGTGTCTATAAAAATATAAAAATTAGCCAGGCGTGGTGGCATGTGCCTGTAATCCCAGCTACTCAGGAGGCCGAGGCAGGAGAATTACTTGAACCCTGGAGGTGAAACTTGCAGTGAGCCGAGATTGCACCACTGCACTCCAGCCGGGGCAACAGAGACTCCGTCTCAAAAAAAGAAAATGGCATTCTGTCATTATACCATCCTCCAGGGCAAATTCCCTTGCAGGGACTCCTTCCTTAGTCTTACCTTTAAAATGAAGTCCCATTTGAGAAACCTCCTATGCACAAAAATAGGAACCCATGTGGGTTCCAGTGAGGGGGGGGTCTAGCCCATGTACTGGGGGGTGCATTTTCCAGAGCTGAACATGCCACTGCACTCCAGCCTGGGTGACAGATGGAAACTCCAGGTCAATTATGCCCTTCAGATGTTTTAGCCAAATAAACATGGGTCTTTCAGGGGCACCCAAAGTCAGATGGGCACAATTTCAGAAGATAGATCACTTACTTGGTGCTTAGCCACGGGCTAACACCATTCTTAGTGGAGACATTAACAGAGATTGAACCAAAGATAAAACCTCTCTTAGTCTTTCAGAGCGACAAAACCAACATTGTTTAAATAACATGTTGCTCAATACATTCTTCTAATTCTAATTTGAGAGAAAAGAGAGAAAGGCAGAAAAGAGAAGACAGGCCACCCTCACCCTGCTGATGGCTCCTCTGGGGTTGGCAAGGGTGTGGACACCTGGGTGTTGATCCATTTCCTCCCCGCTAGCTTTGCCACTGATCTGGCATCCACCACAGCCATGGACACCTCACACTGGGTAGCTTCTCTTCTGCCAATTGCAGGCTTAGGGACAGGGATCAACGCACTTTTATGCAAAGAGCCAGAGAGTAACTATGTTAGCATTTGTCAGCTGTGTGCAGCCCTTGGCGCAGTTACCCAGCTCTATGGCAGCTGCTCAGAAGCAGCCAGATGATGCATGAATGAAAGGGTGTGGCTGGGCTCCAGTGAGCCTTGACAAAAACCAGTGGTGGACGCCATCTGCCCCTGGACTGGGATGGTTTCAGAGTCTTTCTCCCTCCCTCCCTTCCAGAAACCTCAGATACATCGACTTAGATCAGCCAATCTTTGTTCGTGACACATTGGTCTCATGGGTCCATGAATGGCCTTACTTGCCTTATGCATATTTTATAGACAATATAGTGAACTACCGTGAGCCCACCACCGAGACCCAAGACCCAGAATATTCACCACCTGTTCCCCACTTCCCTTTTCCATGCCCCTGCTGCCTCTGTGGATATATACCTGCTGATGGCTCCCACCTATCACCCCAACATTTTGGGAGGCCAATTTGGGAGGATTGCTTGAGCCCAGGAATTTGAGACCTGGGCATGGGCAACACTGGGAGACCCTATCTCTACAAAAAATTAAAAAATTAGCTGAGCGTGGCAGCACGCACCTACATTCCCAGCTACTCGAGAGGCTGAGTCAAGAGGGTTGCTTGAGCCCCAGAGGTTAAAGCTGCAGGGAGCTCTGATCACACTACTGCCAGTCTGAGTGACAGAGCGAGACCCTGTCTCAGAAACAAAAAGATGCTGGGCGCGGCGGCCCACACCTGTAATCACAGCACTTTGGGAGGCTGAAGCGGGTGGATCACCTGAGGTCAGGAGTTTGAGAACAGCCTGGCCAACGTGGTGAAACCCTGCCTGTACTAAAAATACAAAAAATTAGCCTGGTTTGGTGGTGGGCACCTGTAATCCCAGCTATTCGGGAGGCTGAGGCAGGAGAATCACTTGAACCCGGGAGGCAGAGGTTGCAGTTACCTGAGTGCACCATTGCACTCCAGCCTGGACAACAGAGCAAGACTCTATCTCAAAAAAAGAAAAAAAAAAGAGAGAGAGAGAGAGATAGCTGCTGAACTTGGGGTTTAGCCCTGTCTTTATCCGTGTCTGTGCTAAACGGTGTAGTGTTTAGTTTTACTTGATGCTGAAGTTTATAAAATGATATTATTTGGGGTCTTTGGGAAGCTAAGTTTTTTGGCCTCGGCGTAGTTGCTGGCATGCATCCACATCACACAAACACCTGTCGTGCTCACTTTCACTGCGGTATATTCTCATCGTGTATACGAGCCTTCCTTCCAGGATCATAGCTTCTCCTGTTCCATGCTTATTTCCAAAAAGAAGACTGTATGTATCCCTGATGCATTTGGATCAAAAGACCAGGCATCAAAAAGTGCTTTTGGCATAGCTGGGATATAGATGTGGGAAAGATCCCATTATTACTTTTTTTTCCTTCTGTTTTTACCTTTTTCCCCCAGAAGAGATTGACCTGCTCTTATAAAATATTTAACTTGCAAATATGAGGCCAGACACGTTGGCTCACACGTGTAATCCCGGCCAACATAGCAAAACCCCATTTCTACTAAAAATACAAAAATTAGCTGGGCATGGTGGTTCACCCCTGTAGTCCCAGCTACCCAGGAGACTTAGGCAGGAAAATCACTTGAACCTGGGAGGCAGAGGTCGCAGTGAGCCAAGATCGCACCACTGCACTCCAGCCTGGGAGACAGAGTGAGATTCCATCCCCGAAGTTTGTACAATTAGAAGTCCCAGACACTGTCCCAGTCACTAGAGATGAGCGAAGCCGCCCACATGGAACCACAGGACTCCCATTCTGGCAGGGATGCAGGTGATGAGTAAAAGCTAGAACTGCAGCTGTAAGGGGCAAGATCCCCAACAGGACCCCAAGTACACGCCTCTGAGAATCTCAAGCTGGACTTTCCTGGAGCGTGTGAAGCTCGTGGAACCAACAAGCTTTAATGCTCATTGGGACGGGGTGGGAATAAACTTTCTGTTTTTGCTTTTGGGTTTTTTAATTGTTAATAGCTTAGGTCTCTGTTGTCTGTGGCTTTCTGCTTGAGATCAAGTAGAGGAAATTCGGGGCCAGGCCTGGTGGCTCACACCTGTAATCTCAGCACTTTGGGAAGCCAAAACAGGCAGATTGCTTGAGCCCAGGAGTTTGAGACCAACCTGGGCAACATAGTGATACTGTGTCTCTATAAAAAATACAAAAAGTAGCCAGGCATACTGGCTTGCACCTATAGTTCCAGCTGCTAGGGAGACTGAGATGGGAGGATCGCTTGAGCCTGGGAGGTTGAGGCTGCAGTGAGCTGTGATTGTACCACTGGACTCCAGCCTGGGTGACAGAGTGAGACCCTATTTCCTGGATAAAAGAAGAGAGAGAGAGAGAGAGAGAGAGAGAGAGAGAGAGAGAGAGAGAGAAAGAAAAAGAAAGAAAGAAAGAAAGAAAGAAAGAAAGAAAGAAAGAAAGAAAGAAAGAAAAGGAAGGAAGGAAGGAAACAAGGAAACTTTGATCTCAGCCTGGTTCTTTCTGTCCTCTGCTTCCAGAATGTCATGGGCTAGGGTTGTGAAGCCACTCCACAATTTGCTGTAGGCTCAACATGATGATGAAGGAACCTGAGGGTCAGGAGGGCTGCTGTTTTTCAAAAGCCACATGGATTCCTCAGGGCAGGGTGTCACTGTGCTGCTGCTGTTTCTGTACTTGCCTTGTGCCTGGCTGTTTTTAGCACACGGAGACCTGGAGCATAGCCGCCTGTCACTGTGGCATGGGCTCTGTCGGAGAGGGCAGGGAGGATGTTGTGGGGTGACTGAGTTAAAAGCAATGGCCGCGATGGGGCCTGGACACTGAGTGGCCGACGTCTTCCTGCCTTAGCCTGGAAGCCAGTCTGTTGGGGGAGCAGCCTGCCTTTGAGTAGGTTATTTTTGTTGCCATTTTCAAAGGTAGTATTTGTGGCCCGTGTGTTGTAGGTAAGGAATTGCCCCTTCTTGGCCTCACTTGAGCTAAAACTAGGTGTGGAGACGGGCAGCGAGACAGGGTGGAGGGTGACTCATCTCTGCCAGGACAGTCACACCTACACTGTCCCCTGGCAGCCAGACCAGACACCCGGCCCTTTCCCACCTGTCCTGCAGAAGGCTAAGGGGATGACAGGCTGGTTCTTTGCCTGGAGCATTGGTGTGGGCACTAAGCCCTCCAGGATGCTCACACCCAAAACCATGGCTTCCCAGTGATTCTTATGGAGATGTCATGGGTAACTTTCCATCCCCAGATCTGGCAGTGCCTGCATTCCCCTCCCCTCTTGGTCACCTTGGCACAAGTGGACTGTGGTGGAAAGGCCTGTGGGGCAGCCTCCAGCCTCCCCTGGCTCACCCCATCCCATGCCCTCACCCAGAGCCTCCACCAGGAGCCGGTGAGAGCCCTGTTGCCAGGGTCAGAGCCCTGGCTCCACCACCTGTCAACAGCTTGGTGACCAGGGCAGAGTGTTAAGGTTTCTGGACTTCCTCCAAGGCCTGGCCCTCCGCCTCCTGCACCTCACACCCAGGTCCCAGCATCTCTCTTCCCACCGCCCCTATTCCAGACACAAGTGCACAGGGCCCACCCCCTACCTTTCGAGCCTGAATCCTCCTTGAAGGGTCGGGGACCTCATAGGGCAATGCTGGCGGGCTCAGGGGTACCCTCTGGACTCACACCCCAGCCCTTGCCCAGCCTCCATTCGACTGTAAAATGGATAATGGAGCCACTTGAAAGGGTGTGGGTTCCCAGGGTTTCCAGAGAGCACTGCCATACCAGCAGGGCGAGGACCCCGGATGTGGTGACCATATTCACCTGCATCCTTCTGCAGCACCTCCAGGCGCCCCGACGGTTCTCCCTCTGAACGCTTTGCGCCCTCTAGAGCGCTGCTCCGGTTTGGTGCTTCTGCCTCCATCCTGGGGCCAGCTTCCGTGTTCCCGCCTCACTCTCCATTTTCGGGAACCTTCATCCTTCTGCCCCTTCTTTGCTCCCTGCCTTGTGGGTCCTTCTTCCCAAACCACGGGGGCCCAGGAAGGCCTCCGTGGCTGAGCAGTGGTGTGTGGGTCCCCCTGTGTGTCCGTGAGGCTTGGAGGGGGAGCAGCAGTGTCGCTTGTGTGTGCTGCGGAGGTCAGCTGTCCCTGGGCTGGGGGAGGCCGGCAGGCTCTGATATGCCAGCAGTTCAGTCTTGGCCTGCTCTCCCCCACCTGCTGGCCAGTCAGGTTGTGGATCTGACCCCATGCTGGGAGCTGCCCTGGGGGGTCCGTCTTTTCCTCACAAACCTCCCTTCCCTGCCAAGCCCTGTGTGACCAGGATCTCAGACACATACAACAAAGGGAAACTAGGGTTTTTTGAGGGGACGGGTGGGCAGGCCATCCTTCTTGACCTGCAGGGATTCTTCCAGTGAATTTTATTGAGACCTCCAAGAAGACACGGGGCAGGGGTGGGGAGCAGCCTGCACTTGTAGCTGACAGCCCAGGCTGAGTCTTCCGGCTGGAAATGGGTCTGCACAGACACACCCCACAGGACAGGCTCAGGGAGACTGGGCACATTTCTGAAGCTGTGCTGAGGAGGAAGAGAAAGGGGAGTGGGGACACCAGCCCCCCTTCCCGCTTTCATTCTCTCCTGGGAGTGTGGGCCCCGGGATTACAGCCTTTGTCCCTGTTTGTCTCCTGAGAAATGCAGCAAGCCAGGGTCAGCCCACAGGCTACATGCCCCAGGTCACCCCCCAGCCAGGGCCCAAAGACGACGGGCCCAGCCCTCATGATTGCCCCCAAAATGGGTTGACCTGGGAGGAACAGTGCCCTGCCCACCACACAGCCCCCCAGCGACAGTGCAAGGAGAGAATCTGCAGCTGCCCCTGGCTCCGGAGATGTCACCCTGGCCCCCTGCTCAGCCCCGGGAAAGGAGGATTGCAGGGACAGGTGACGGTTCCCTCGGCGCCTCTCCAAACACCTTCTACCTCCTGCCCTGCACGGTCCTGCCCCTGCCTCTGCTCCAGCCCTGGCTTGGGGTTTGCAGGGCCAAGCTTGGCTCTTCCATGGGTCTTGGCGAAGAAAGTGCAGAGCCGCACTTCCCTCCACAAAGCCGCACTGTTCTCAGCAAATCCTCCCAGGATCGGTGCATTTTTTTCAAGTGATTCAGCAGCACGTGAATGGGAGGGGCCCAGCCCACGAGGGAGGGTGGCAGGACAGGGGCTCAGGTCCTCCCAGGGCCGCAGAGGGAGGGGGCCGGGAGGGGGCGGCAGGAAGGCTGGGCAGAGTACAGCTTTGCTCTTCGGGGTTGTGGCCGAGGCACTCTGATAGATGGTGTTTTGCTCGCTTGAGTTCCCCGAGGGGAGCCAGAGTCAATGGGCAGGAAGTAGATGGGAGAGCTGGTCTCCATGGAGACCGGCATCCAGTGGCCAGCCGCTCACGCGCTGGAATCTCGGGCAGCAGGGAGGGAATGCTCCCTCGGGTGGGCCTGGCACACCTCCAGGTGCCAGCTGGCAGGCAGTATGGGGTATGGCCCAGGCTGAGGCTGCGCTTCTGTCCCCTGATCCCTGTTGTATGCCCGTCACCCTCTCTGCCCCACCCCCTTCCCCACCCTCCCTACGAAAACATCTTTTCTGAGTAGTTGTCATTCCAGGCGTTTCTCACCCTGGCCTGAGTCAGGCTGGGCAAGTCCTCTGTCCTCACCCTGGATGTCACGGCCCTGCCTTGCCCCAGAGCTGCGAGTCACCACTGAGGATGGACCTGGGGCCCCTCTGTCCCAGCCACCCATAGACTCTCAAGGTCAGAGTTTAGAAAGGGAGGTGGTGCCCATATCTTCACTTCTGGTGTCTATATCCTCAGCGGGGGACAGATATCTAGGGTGCTCCTATGGTACCCCCTTTGCTGAGCTCTTTCCTGCACCCCAGAAGGCCCCATTGCTGGCTCCTGGGGTCCGAGGAGGTTGGGAGGCCTGAGGGTGGGTCTGGCCTCTGCAGCAGCTGCAGGGCAGTCATAAGCCGGATTCCCACCCACACCACAGGGCTGTTTTCAATTACCAGGCCACAGCCCCCTTTTCTGCTCATTTCCCTAAAAGGGGCAAACTTGGAGGAGGTCTGCCCCGCCACTGACCAAAAGGGCCGGCCCTAGGGGGCCACGGAAGGCAGAGCCCAGAGTTCAGAGGAGACCCTCTGACTGCCCACCGAGGACACCCAGCTGTGTAGCTTGAGGCCAGAGGCCACAGGTGGGCTGGACCAGATAACCCTCACTGCCACCTCCCAACCCTTGTGACACTTCCTGACGGCTCAGCCCCACCCATGCCCCCTATGCAGTTCCGTAGGGAGTCTGTGGCCTCTAGACCTGGAGGGCTAGAGCAGGTTTGGGGTCCTTGTGAGCAGAGCCCTTCTCGGATCACCATCTGCCATCCCTGGCGGCGTTTGTGGCCACCTCTGCCCCTCCAGCTGGCGAGGTCAGCCCCATCCCGCCAAATGAAGGAGATGCTGCCCGAAGGAGAGCTTCTGTGTTTCTGAGTGGTCTTCACTATGATCCCGAAGCCCAATGAGATTAGTTACACAAAAACACTTACAGATCCCACAGTGACCTGAGAGCAGGCCGGGAAAAATACAGTCACTTATCACAGCAGCTGCAGGACAGGGCCACAGCTGATGGTATAGACACTGGAAGTGGGGACAGGGGCTTCACCTCCCTTTCCAGACTCTGACCTTGTGGGCAGCTGGGGCAGAGAGGCCCTTGGTATACCCTCAGCTGGTGCTATGGACATATTAATCAAAATTCAATGGTCAGGCCAGGCGAGGTGGCTCACATCTATAATTCCAGCACTCTGGGAGACCAAGACTGGTGGATAACTTGAGATCAGGAGTTCCAGACCACCCTGGCCAACATGGTGAAACCCCGTCTCTACTAAAATACAAAAAAAAACAAAAAAAAAGTTAGCCAAGCATGGTGGCAGGCACCTGTAATCCCAGCTACTCTGGAGGCTGAGGCAGGAGAATTGCTTGAACTCTGAAGGCAGAGGTTGCAGTGAGTCAGGGTCACACCATTGCATTCCAGCCTGGGTGACAAGAGCAAAACTTGGATTGGGAGTTTAAAAAAAAATTCAATGGTCAAGCAACCCCAGCCAGGTCAACCAGTATCCAGTGGTACATCCACCCAAAAGGACAAGAGACTCTCATCCCGAATGGCAGCTCAGGTTACAGACGTTAGCGAGAGCCTTACTGTGTGATTTGAGGACGTGGATGGTGGCACTCGTGTGCCCAGTTTTCTGGAGAGTGTGGACAGAAGGCATTGAACCTCGCAGTCCTTCCCCAGTAAATAAGCAAAGAAGAGTCCACCTGCGACTGCCGTTGGATTCTTTCCAGGAGTGAGTGGAGGTTGGGTTTCATCTGGGAGAGAAAATGGTTTCTTTTAAAATTCCTCTGAAATGATTGGCATGTAATTCCACCTGGAGTCAAATGAACCAAATGACTCTCAGATGGTGTCTGCCACTCCAGCTGGCAGTTACTGCGTTTGCATCTACACGGTTCAGAGTCCTCAAGGCTGGTCCCTGGGACACATGCAGTGACCACTGGTCTTCAGTGCTGCTGTGGGTGCCCTGGGCTGACTCCAATCCAGCTGCAGCATCAGAATGCCCCCCACCCACGGGCCATTTGGGCCAGTAGGGTCTTTGGCACATGTGCAAAGCCTCTACTCGACCCCTAGGAATGACCAATGTTAAGAGCATGGGGACTCCGTGCTCTCTGGGCCATGAGCAGGACAGGACAGAGTAGAAGAAGGTGCTTTCTTGCAACTGCTGGTCCTGTGGGCATCCTTCCCCGGGTGGAAGCTGGAGCCTGCAGAAGAGGGTGGATGGCTAGGAGGGGCCGGTGCCCCCTGGGGATACGGAGCAAAGGCCAGTCCGAGTCAGTGTGCATGCAAGGTACAGATGATCCAGCTGGGTTTTGACTTTGTATTTAGCCGAATATGTTATGAGTCCCGGGGATCCCTGCACCTCGTCTGGGCAGACACGTGACTTGAGGGACAGTAGGCTACCCTCTGCTGCCTGAGTGCGTCCCTCAGCCGAAACGGGCACTGTGCAGTTAACAGCGTGTAGAGCACCCTGGGGATAGTCTGTGAGTGGTCTAGAGGTTGGGTGTTCACATCCACCGGTTTGCCTGTCCCTAACCTGGGGCTGGGAGCCCGGCAGAGTGGCCCAGGTGGCAAACGTTCTGTATGGTGTATTTATACACACAGCACGTCGGATTCCTCCGGAGAGCAGTCGGGCCCCTGGCAAGACGATAAAGGGAATTCAATGAGTGTGGAACACGTGCATTTCTTAGAGGCAGTTTTCTTCTTTCAAAAGCAGGGTCTTGTTCTGTCACCCAGGACTGAAGCCCAGTGGTGTGTTCATAGCTCACTGCAGCCTTGAACTTCTAGGCTCCTGCAGTCCTCCTGAGAGCTGGGATTACAGGCATATGTCACCATGTCCAGCTAACTTTTGTATTTTTTTTTTCAGATGGGGTATTGGTATGTTGCTCAAGCTGTTCTTGAACTCCTAGCTTCAAGCAACCCACCCGCCCTGGCCTCCCAAATGCTAGGATTACAAGTGTGAGCCTTTTGAAGCGGTTTTCTTTTGGGGTCTGGCTCCCTCCCCCAATAGTGGGCATGGCTTGTTCTTATTTTCCACAGGAACGCCCATGGTGCTTCTGTGGACACAGTGGGATTGGAAAGATGTTGGTGGGGTGTGAGGGGGACTTGAGGACACAGGGCCCACATGTTGATGGCTGCAGAGGGGACATGGAGACACAGAGGAGAGAGAACAAGAGAGGAGCGTGCCACAGAAGCCCCGGTGTCTCTGCCCAGGCGTGGCTGGAGTCTGTGGAGTGTGCCACCCCTCCGGCCAGCCGTTGGCCCTGGCTCATGCTGGAGACACCAGGTTCTCCAGCAAGCCCCCTTCACGGTCCGCTCCCCTCTGAGAGCAGCAGCACCGGTCAGCCTCCGATGGTTTTCCAGGGGCGGGTGTGATTCTCGACGTCGGAGCGTAACCCATCCTCTTGGATCGTCTCCTGAGACCTTGGTTTTTCACCCACCCAGTTGTTTTCCATCCCCACTCTGGCGGGTTCACTCGGAATTGTTTTCGCAGGCTCCTTGCAGAGGGGTAGGTGACATCATGTGGTGTCCTGGGCCGGCAGGGTGGGAGCCGGGGCCCTGTGGTTGCATGTGCTTTGAATTCAGCCGACGGTTGTACATTCCAGTAGCCAGCATCTGGCGGCGAATTCATCAGCCAGTGTATCACCCTTGATCTCAAACCCAGATGTTGTGTTCACAGCAGAAGGGAAAGAAGGAAAAATGAAATCTGAGATGCTCAGGGAGAGGCCGTGGTTTTTGGGCTCAGGGCAGTTGGAACAAATATCTTTGTAAAGAGTCCCTCTCTCGAAGCTGCCTCGGGCTCCTTGGGGAAGGGGCAAGAGAAGGAAGGCAGCCCCCTCTTGGGGGCATGGACAGGAGATGGGCTGACCACCCCCATCCCAGTGCCTAATACCAGGCCCAGCACACAGTAGGTGTTCAAGAAATGTGTCTGTGCCACAATTTTCTTCCTTCCTTCCTTTTCTTTCTTTCTTTCCTTCCTTTCTTTCTTTCTCTTTCTTTCTCTCTCTTTCTTTCTTTCTTTTTTTTTGACCAAGTCTTGCTCGCTCTTGACCCCCAGGCTGCAGTGCAATGACTCGATCTCAGCTCACTGCAACCTCCACGTCCCGGGTTCAAGTGATTCTCTTGCCTCAGCCTTCTCAGTAGCTGGGATTACAGGCATCTGCCACCACACCCAGCTAATTTTTGTATTTTTAGTAGAGATGGGATTTCGCCATGTTGGCCAGGCTGGTCTCGAACCCCCACCTCAGGTGATCCACCCACCTCAACCTCCCAAAGTGCTGGGATTACAGGCATGAGTCCCCATGCCCAGCCTGTGCCACAATTTTCATTTCTTCCCAGATTCCTTATGTCTCTTTGCTTTCCCCAGCCCTGTTCTACACATGGCCTGGGAGTCAGAGATGCCCTCCCTCCTGCGGAGTGGGCTCCTTTCCCCTACAGTCCTGGTGGTCCATCCTGAAGCTCAAGGCAAGGACCATCGCCACTGGCATGGGAGTGTCTCCTGGAGAGCGCTCCCTCCCTCCTCCTCTGTCCACCATTGGCCACTGGAAACTGTCCCTCTCTGTGTTCCTGTCCACTATCTGCCATCTGGCTTGGATGGGACGCTTCTCCCAGCCAAGGCCTTCTGCACACAGGATCCACCCCGCACCCTCCGCTCACCTGCTGTTG